CCTGCAGGTGGGCCACCCTCCACAGGCAGCACTGCCCCCAGAGGGCTCACGGCACACCCAGAGCCAGGTCCTCGGTGGCCGCCCTCAGCTGTGGTCAGGAGATGGATGCATCTACAGCTCCCGCCATGGAGCTGGGGGCCGGAGGCGGTGGCTGGCCAGGGCCTGGTCTGTGGCACAGGCTCTGTCCTGGGCTCCGGGTGAGGATGGTGCACCTGAGGACCGCGGCCCCACCGGCCCTGCCTGTGCGCGTTCCAGATCCCGGACGCCGGGGCCAGCACCCCGCGCACCACCACCATGACCTTCACGTGCTTCGTGTTTTTCGACCTCTTCAACGCCCTGACCTGCCGCTCCCAGGTATGACAGTGGCTACGCCCTGCGTCCTCCTGAGAGGCAAAGGGCTCAGCAGAGCTGCCGCCAGCCTCCTCCCCGCGGGGTCACCTCTGAGCCCCGGTCTGTCCAGGCCTCGGGTGGCTCAGAGCAGGTGGCGCTGGGCAGCGCTGCCCTACGGTGAGGTCCCACGCGCAGCCTCCTCCCCGCAGACCAAGCTGGTCCTCGAGATCGGCTTCCTCAGGAACCGCATGTTCCTCTACTCGGTCCTCGGGTCCCTCCTGGGGCAGCTGGCCGTCATCTACGTCCCGCCCCTGCAGAGGGTCTTCCAGACGGAGAACCTGGGAGCGCTGGGTGAGTGCGGGCTTGAGGAGAGGTCACTAACAGCTGCAGGTGCTGCCCCCGCCCCTGCCAGGCAAGGGCCCGGGGGCTTGTGGGTGGTGCGCCCTGGGATGCCGAAGCCCCACACACCGCGGCAGGCGGGCAGCTGCTCTGCCTTGGACCTGGGCAGGAGGGAGGCATGAGGGGACGCAGAGGACACAGGAGGCTCAGGAAGAGGCCCCTTCGCCAGGAGTAGGGCCTGGGAGGGGTCCACATCCGGCCCTTAGGGCAGGAGGACCAGCCACACACACGAGGCCCCCGGGTACAGCGGGCAGGACTGTAAGCTCAGCCCTTGATGTCCCCTCAGCTGGGGAGCGTGGCCTGGACCCCAAGCCTTCTGTGACTTTGACATTTCTGGAGACCAGAAGCTGGGCCACCCTACAGTTCTTGCTAAAACAGACCTGATTTAGTGACATGGAGTCCCGAGACACCCGGTAGGGGACCCAGGACTCCCATGTCCCCAGCCAGGCTGGCAGGGGAGGGAACAGTCCCTAACCCCAGCAAGGAAGGTTGTGCGGGGGTCACCTGAAGGGCAGCAGTGTCCAGAGGGCTCGCCCCTCTCCCTCCTGGTTCAGTCTGGCCCGTCCCCCTGAGGAGCAGAGGGCTGGTCCCCAGGGCTGAGCACAGGGTGGCCTGTGGCTTGTCCCTGCTCAGGAGGGACCTGCGATGACCGGTGAGGTCTGAGGCTGCACAGGGCTGCGCTTAAGGCCTCGGCAGGGGAGGACGGTGCCTGTCCTCA